AACCCTTGTCAAAACCCTGTTAATATACAGACTAACACTGAACCTGAGTGGCTCAAGGACAACGTCAAGATGAACAGCAATGACCTAATTACAGCAACTCTATGAAGAGTTTCACTCAGATCACAGGGGTCAAACTCAGGCTCGTGGGTCAAATCTGGCCCATGGTGTCATTACACAAGATAATATCAAAATGTATTAGAGCTGGCTGTATACCAGCAGGGTTTCGAGTAGCAGCAGTGTAAGCACTATCATATTGCATGCATTTTTGGTTAGTTGTTCTGGTGTTGGCCTGAAAAAAGATTTACATTAAAAAGGAACTATTATATAATAAGACATAATAAGAAACAAATACCACTGATGTGTGTTTTATATCAAATTTAATTTCTCATGTGTTATCATGATATTAAGCTTTGTGGTTCTACATTTAATGTTTACACAAAACTAAGTTTGTTTCCATATGAAAAAATGTCTACATTACATATCGGGAGAGAACGAAAAAAACATGCACAGTTGCAGTGAATTTTTCAATAAATATAAAGTTTGGCCCACAACTTTGTCTCAGTTTTTAAATATGGGCCACTGTGAAATTCAGTTTGACACCCCTGACTTAGATATTTGTATATTTTTGTTGACATTTCTCCAGATTAATCATTCCATTATTTGGATCAATCACAAAAAAAGAGGAACAGGTGAGAAACACCGGCTGATATTGGTCTGTGTGATAGAGCGATATACAGAAAAAAGTGTCATAATTAGGAATATTGATTTATCTAGATTAATAATTGAATGATAAATTGCAATTATTTATAATTAATCTGGATGAAGCCACAGCTAGCCTGTGGTGAATCCAGTTAAATAATATAATGGTTCAACAGATGATCCATCAGCGCCACCAACTCAGACTCTGCGGTCTCTGGTTTCTCTCTCCAGTTAAATGATGTTATAAAATCCTCTTCTGCGACACTGTGTGAGCTCTGTGTCAAAATAATGAGGTTAAAGCGGTTTAGGTTTTTACAGGCACACACTTTCATTTCCCTCCAGGTTTACATGTTCTCTTATGACATAAAGACGTGCTGGTATTTATTGTTCTCCTGCCCAGGAACCTCGCTGTGGGGGGAATGGAAACGGATTCTGCAAAGAACCCCTTCTCCTAAAAAGAAAACACTTTTTTCTGCACAGAGTGGCGCTCAGTGTTAGCTTCCCAAGAATCATAGGGATACAAAATATATCCAGAATTTAAACCAATACAAGAGTTTGTTTTTCTTATGCCTTTGATGTGTTTATTTAATGGACTATTAATAGTTCTCTGGGAAAGACACTGCACCAACATGTTTCTTCCAACAGACTCTTGACAAACAAACAAAATCTTCTCAACCAAAACAGTTGCATTTTTTTAAGAGATAGGTAAAGAAAATGTGTAAAAACAAATCTGCTGATAAACTCCAGCCTCAGGTTTAAATCGATGAGCTGCGTCTGGATTCTATTTTCTCAACGATGTTAAATATTAAATAAATGATGCTGGTCAACTGTTTAGCATTTTTAAGCCATTTCAGTCTTGGGTATTTTCAAAATAGAGCTGCAGCTGCAGCCTATGGGACACGCAGTGAGATCGTACATTGAAGTCAGTAACTGTTAACTGCTTCACGTTGGCTACGTTTACCTGAGAGGAAGAAAAGGCAACATTTTACGGCAGTGCAGTTCCTCTTCTTAGACCAACAGCTGAGAGGCAGTGACTCCAGCTATCCATACGTCACATGTCTCCTGTCATGTTGGACTGAGCCAGACTATTACCATCACATCACATGTTTAGTGGCACTTCAGAAATCACAGGCCAGTACTGACCCACATTTAACGTTAAGTTTTGACACAAATTAGAGATTAAAATAGCAGTAATCTGGATGGGAATAACGAGTTCAGATGAGATACAGCATGAGTCACATGTGCAGACATGAGTGGAAAACCCCAGGTACTGGTAGCTGGTAAACATACGTCTAAGGGTCCATTGAAAAGTAAATATACTGCATGTCATGGTGGGTGGATCGCTATGATGTTTCTCAGTTACTGTGTCAACTGAATTCTGAAAAAAAAAAACAACAACCTCAAAACGAAGATGAAACACTTCTGACTCTTTTTATACCTGTCTACATATAAATATATATAAATATATATATATATTCACACTAATCAGGGCCTTGGGAGTACAGCAGCACTCTGTTCACTGCAGGCTAGATAATGGCAGCCTTTCAGCAGTGAGAGGTCGGAGAGAGGAAATTATAGCAAATGAAGGCGAGAGATTTTTATTTCTAATAACTTTCTGACATCTGAGCTGTTCAGACATACACGCCTGGACTTTAACTCTGTGGAGAACTGGGCTGTTCCTGGACCAGCAGCCCTCCATTGTAATAAAATTAAACCAAATTTCTGTTTCACAGTTTCAGATGTTTATATCATGTTGATTTTCCCCTCATATGGCTAACTTTTAGCTGCCACTTAGCAACATCTCATGAAACTAATGTTTCATTGTCTATTGGTGCATTTCTTTTTACAGTAGGTTGCCTACATTTCAGCTATAATTGTTGTTTTCCTATTTTTTAGATTATATTCTATAATGGTAAATTATGGCAATTTTTTTGACGGCTGGAAGTTTTTTCTGGACCTATTTTTATATTGGTTAATATTATTGTTTAACATGTTGTTTAACATTAATTAGGGATGCACTGATTGTGAAAATTCTGGGGCCGTTGTTTTAAAATAACCTGGCTTTTTTTATTTCCTCTTTTGTGCCACGGAAACATTACTGACTATTAAATATCTTTCATCTCTTCATCGTGCTATCCTTGAATGAGTGCAAGTTCTATCAGATAAATGTATTGAACAAAAACAGCATTTAATGTCAATTTGTTGTTGGCACTTAAGATAACCTTAATTCACTTTTTTTTTCTCAATAATATCTTTCAAAAACCCTCAAACTGCAAACTAATAAATACGATTTTACCTACAAAGCCCAACAAAAAGTATTTTTGTGATAAATAAAAATACATCCAGCATAAACGTAAAACCAATTGGAAAAAAAACCCAAATACGTTATTAACATAAATAATTTTTATCTTTCACCAGGTGTATTTAATTCATACAGAATAAAACACGACAGTGTTTCAGAACTCACAGATTGGAACACAGGGCATCTTTATGAAACCACCTGACCTCCAGTCTGTGACCTGATCAAAATAACACAAACACCTGCAGAGTGGTCCTCAAAGACAACAACTGAGACTGTGAGCACAACAGAAGTCTGACTCCTGGTGTTAACACAAACCAGATGAACCTTCACCACTGATCTGTGGAGTCTCTGCTTCCCTTAGCTGCAACTGTGTGAAATCTTTCTCAGGAAATGAATTTGATCTTCTAATAAATGAATAAATCACCACTAAAAACTGCTGACGTCGCCTCCTCTCCTCCTCTCCTCCCTAGAAACACAGCCTTGGTGGAGAATCGATCGTGGTTCTAAATTGAATAAAGGCTCTTTCCTGAAGCACCTGCAGCCTTTTCTCACTAATGGTTCATTTGTGGTTCTCCAGCACAATAAATTACAAACATTTCCCACAAGAGACACTCTTCATTCATTCTAGCTTTGATTTCTACAAAACTGCTATTCCCCATGAACTACAAATCAGTACAGGTCCCTTATGGCAATACAAATAATTATCAAATAATTATCAAATGAATTTGCCCCACTTGGCCAGCCTCTTCAATAGCTCGGTGCCCCCACCTTTGAAACCACAAATTAAAACTAGTTCCTCCCTCTAGTCCAGCCAGTCACTTGGAGCCAGTCTCTCCAAGTGATTGGCTGAACAAATAAAGTGGGTTGAGGTGTCTGGCCAGTATCTGGAGGAAAGGTGGCGCTGTTGAATGTTTTAGCTACATAATCCAGATTTTTTAAATCACTTCTTATTATTGTCGTGACATCCTGCACGAATATGTTACCAAATAATTGGAACTCATCTGTAGGGCAGGGATGCCCCCCCCCCCCCGCTGCTGCTGTTGCTGCTGTTGGAGCTTTAACTAGATAATAAAAAGTGGCTCAGCTGTGCTTCCTGAAAACCACGACGTGATGTGAAGCTGTAACAGTGACTGAAGCCCACACTCTCAGAATATTGTCAAGAAAAACTCACTCTTCTTCGCAGCAGCCATGTCACAGGAAATTGGTCTGGTTCCGACGCACTGTCACAGCCTTGTCATCTCAGCCCAGTGACCTCAGAGCAACCCTGCAAAATAAGTTAGACGGATGAGATGCTTCAGAACACACAGACAGATAACAGCAACAACAACAGGCAACAATTAGATCCTGTGTTCCCGGGCTACTGCACTTTACTCTTCAAGTCAGTGATCACTGGTCCAAGTGTGGTCCAGTTAAGAGGTGCAGCCAGAAACAACAACTGAGAGGAAAACAACCAAACAGACTGAGAGGATTAGCATGGAAGACGGAGCTGCTGACGACACACAGATGTGGAACCTTCACAACATCTGAGAAAATAACATCTTAACTGCAAAAGAAAAAAAAACAGAAGCAATATTGGCATCATCTTAATCAAAAGTTTAGAGGAATTGCTTTCCCCAGTATGAATGTAATTCTCCCATAGTAAGGAGTCAATTTTAAAAGTCAAATTTAAAAACAGCAACAACATGCCTCTTTGTTGTTACATAAAGCTCTTTCTGAGTCTAAAAACGCAGAGATAATCCTGCTCTTTGGGATTTTGGTGATGTCAGCATAGATAAGTTAAATACAGAAGTAAAAGAAAAAAGAAGAGAAAGAAAACAAATCATTCCAGTTTGGAGCAATGACAGTGGAGGAAATAAATGATCAAGCTGTTCATTTGCAAAATAAGGCGATGCTAATTTGCAACTTAGTTTTCTGTAGGCTCGTATTAGATGTTGGTCAAACATTACCTGACTGTACTTAATGTATTACAAAAACATCTATGACTGGTGAATCAAATGGACCAGTTTGAATGAATGTATGGATGAACAGGGCCAGGCTGAAAAGTTCGACTAAACTGACCTTCAAACCTACTATATTTTAATGTCAACACTAGGTTTACAGCTGCTTTGCTAACAGCAAAACAACAGACTTGCACTGTGAAGATCAGGTGTGTAACATTTACTTCATGTCTCTGGTGTAATGGAGTCATACTGAACCCTGAATATTACTGTGATAGAACTAGTCATTGTCTACAAGAAGAAGTAACAACGACAGTTGTGTTGTTCTACTTCTATGTCCTTCTCACAGGAACTGATCCTGAACAGAAGTCCAGACATTTGTCCTTGTTTCTTTTGCTTTAGTCGAGTCTGGAAATAAAGATGGAACAAACAAATTGTTTTGGCACTTCTTCATGTTTCTCTTTGCACTATGAGGAAAAAAAACTTTACCACATGTACTACATGTCCACTGAGAATAGACTGGTATTTAAGGTGGATCCAGCTTCAGCAGTGGGGAAAACTAAAACAAGATTAGTGCAGTCATTTAAATCAACCACTGATGGAATTAAAACACAGCTGAGCTGGTGAGAAGTGCTGTGACATTTCTTGACTGTGGCTGAAGCTTTATATCCTACAGAGCCAGTACGAGAGCTCACGTCTCGTGTGATGCACAGCACTGATGGTGTTTAACGGCTGAGACCTCGAACAAACATTCAAGTAAAAACATTAAAAAGGAAGTCAACAGAACCAGATAAGCTGTTGCATCACGCAGATCAGATGGGATTGTATTGTATTGGCAGTAAAACTAAGGGGGTCTAACAGGGGGAAAAAAAGAACTAATTTGAAGCTCCATTTCATTTGTAGGATTGATCAATTATCTGTTATATCTGAAGTTTCTTTGGGGAGTTGAACTCCAGCTCCTCCAGATTTGGTGGTCCTCTAACATGGACCCCACTCCTCAGTTTACTCCACAGACACTACTTTCCTAATGTGCTTTCATCCATCATTGTTGTTGTTTCTGTAAAAGTAAATTAAACTGTTTATCCCCAAATAATTTCGCCCAACGTTACTGTATGATGACAGCTATTCTTCAGACGCACTTTTGACTATTTTTTTTACTGCCGCTCCATTTCGTTTACAGCGCTAAAACATCCACGCCCCATTACTGGAGATTCTTCCAACAATTAATGTTTTTCAGTATTCACAGTCCAACAACAAACACTTACTAAAAAAAAACCCGTGTGTCAGTCCCTGAAAAAGTTGCAAAACGCTCGAACCACACGCGAGACTATACTCGGTATCGATGCAGCTCACCTGTCCTTATCTCCGGCAGGTGGAAAAGCTTCAGAAGGAGCGCAAGCAGCTGGTTACACACAGACTCTGGACAAACACTTACTATACGCCTGTCTCTCTGTCTCTCTCTCTCTCTCTGTCTCTGTCTCTGTCTGTTTGATTCCCCACCGCTGCACTTTCTCCACACCACTATTTCCGTGTTGGGTCACGTGGTTGGCTCGCGTTTCCTCCTTCGCGCCGTTTACATTCAAATCATTGATTGAACAAATTGAGATTTATATCTAGTAAACGCGTGCGTAATAACAATATACGTTTACCCCCCGGTCCTTTTGGACAGACCCTAGGACCACAGATCCAAGACAGACAGAACAGGTGCAGCTTCAACAGATAGGGCGGTTTGGTGGCGCCGCGCAGCGGTGATTTGGGTGTTTACAGGAGAGTTGAAATCATGCCTTCTTTAGAACTTCATATTTGGAACGATTTTCTCCAACTAGTGGGCTTTTAAAATGGTTGATAAACAAAGGAATTCTGATGTTATTATAAAAATGTTTCTGCCTTTTGTTTGTATTTTACTTATTATTACTATATTATGTTTGTGACTATGGCTCGGATAGTTTCACAGGTGTTTAACGGCTTCGGCTACTTGAGTCGGTCAAACATTTCTCTCTTGGTCTTAGGATCGAAAATGTGTTGTTATTATTATTATTGTTGTTGTTGTTGTTAAAAATATGGAAAGTATAGCATGACGAAAACTGCCAAAATCTTGGGAATAAATATAGCCTATACACATATATCATTTTGCTACAATATTGCACACCTTATACATGCATTATCTCCCTTCTCCCGGAGTTGCCATCTCCAGTTACACATACGTCATATAGGTAGGGTGTTTATTCATACTAAAATGACCAGAACACATGACACACACACAGATGTATAGCTGGCAGGTATTGTTTATTAAAATGTCAGTTAGTGAAGTTAAATTTAACAAAAACCATGTTCGTTTCGAAGTGTCTATTGTTTCCAAACGGGTTCCGAACGTTAATTTTGGAAGGACAGAGGCAACTGGACAATATTATTATTAACAGTAAACATGAGGTCAGCCTTAGTGTAAAAACGTCCCTGGGTGGGCTTGAACCACCAACCTTTCGGTTAACAGCCGAACGCGCTAACCGATTGCGCCACAGAGACATGAGGAGGTTGTGACGGAGTCAGTTTTTACTCCAGGGACATTACACTGTTCCACTAATGACCCAATCAGAATGGGCCGTCCCTCCTACGAGTAAAAGTGATGAGAATTTTTGACAAAAAAGCTGAGGTTGTTGCTCCAACAAATGAGTCAAAAGTTTTTAAAGGTTTCATATTTTTACATAAAGTAATTTCTTAAGAAAAAAACATTGTGAATCAGGCTGCACATCAGCACATAACAGAAGGTCACATTTGGTTGTGTGCAGTGGTGAGCTGTGTCACAATGACAAGGAGTTCACTTTCCCTTAAAAGTAACAGGATCTGGTCCAACCAAGGTTTCCGTCTATATAACACGTAGTAAATATGAGGCAAGGTGTCACATCCATTAACCTTTGAACACAAAACACCACATATGTTGTTGTTCTGTTTATTCAGGGTGATTGTCATGAGTGTGTGATTTTACCAAAGAGTAAATGTTCAGTGGACACATGCACCAAGGTCAAAAACAAGAGGAACAGGAACCACCTTTAGAGCATCCACGGGTTCCAACATGGCTGCTCACATCTCACTCCAAAAATAGAAAAATGAACTTTCAACGACTGATACAGTAAAAACTCAGTCTATTAACCTGAAGTCAACATGAATCATATCAACTGTAAACTGTCTACTGTAGTGTTTACGTCTGTGTCCAGTCAACAGAGTGTTTTCCTGAAACACAAAGTCAGTTTTTATTTTAAAGTACTAGATACTGGCTAAGCATGTTTTCACGCAGCCTCACTGACCCTCGGATCATTAGAGAACATCTAGAACCAGGAGGAACTTCGTAAAGAAATGATGACATCTAAACCATGAAGTAGAGTAGCTGTGAAGGAGGAACTGTTTTCACCACATCAGGCTCATCAAGCACAGCAGCACGTTTGTTGTGTCTCAGTTCTGAGCCGACGTGCTGTTAGTCTGGGACGTACTCAAGGCCAGCTGCATGGCCCAGATGCTCAGAGGCCTCATGTAGGCCAAAGAACGGAAGACGCCCTTCTCACTGTAGGCTTCAGGAGTCTGGAATGCCATTCCCAGTCTCTCCCACACAGTCCTGTAGCAGCCTTCAGCCGTTCTCATCCCCTCATCCCTCATTCCCTGAATGTTTAAAAACAGAAAAGCAGCTTTGTAGTAATGCAGCCACAGTGTGTTTTTTATAATGTTTGGTTAGCTCTTGGCACTGTTAGTATCAATGTATTATTCAATTAATTAAGCTTAGTTATTTAGTTAGTGTTAAGGACAAACACAGAGACTGACATGCCATCCAACATTGGCACTAGCCAATCAGAGGCAGTGGGGCGGATTACATAGGCTTAAAACAAAAGCTCAATTTTCTAAATGAGCCCAAAGAACCACAACTACAGTCGATTTTTAAACTGGCGACTGTACTACACTCACCTCATGGATCATGGTAGCTGCCAGTCCATACACTACTCCGGTCCAGACCTCATCTGACTGGACGCTGGATCGATCAGGCACTCCCTCAGGACGCATGCCATTTACTGCCCCCATGTGGCCTCCAGCAAAGCTCATGACGTTCAGGTCAAAGACCGACTTCAGTGCGCTCTGGATTTTTTCCTTTGGGAAGGCCTAGAGGGATGACGCAGTGAAGAGATACATAATTCTACGGAGGACTCAGTCTCAGTAGGTCATATCAAACCAGCTTGTTTTAAATGTGTAGCATTGAAAAACAGAATACTGGGAAGACGTACCTGGTACTCCCCGTCTCCCAGACCAGATGCTCGGAGGAACCAGTGTCCAGCACACTGGTCAGACATCACACTGTTGGAGAGCTCCCTCCCACTGCTGTCGTAGTTGTAGTACTTTCCTAAAAGTGAAAAAGAAAATAAAAAAAACAGTAAAACATTTTTCCAGACCTAAACTCAGACTAACTATGTTTCCTGATACGGATCAGGTCTCAAAGGTGGGCTTGGACCAACCGTTCCACAGCAGTTTGTCATAAGCTGCGCTGCCTCTGTCCAGGAGGTCTTTGTAGTACTGAAGGGACGCGTCGCTCTTCAGCACTTCAGCCATTTTACACATCACACACAGGGAGGCCAACCACAGCCCGCCGCAGTACGCACTGGAAAGCACACACACATGTAAATAGAAACAAACATTTTTTATTTTTTTTATTTCAGCCTACACACTCACCTTGGTCCAGTTACTTTCCAACCATCATAGGTCTGGTCCGCATAGCCAGAGTTTTCGATGAGCCCGTCTCCGTCCAGGTCAAACTTCAGTTCCGACTCCATAACAGCCTGAAACCGAAACCGAGATTCAGTTGTTCACAACGGCAGCTTAATGTTTAATAAATTGGATTTGGATGTATCTCTGAAGAACGGGTATCCGAGTGGACTACATACCTTACATATGGGCCACATGTCACACAGGTACTGATTGTCCTGGGTCAGATGAAAGTCTCTGTAGACCTGCAGGACAAACTTGAGGTTCAAGTCCTTCCAGCCTGCAGTGTCATGAATGAGGTAGGCATTCAACCTCTGCCAAGGCTCATCATCTAGGAGCAGAACAGGAAGATGATGTGAAAAAAAAACAACAAAAAGTTGAAAAAGAAAGAAGCAAACCAAAGTAGATACAGTGGTAAAGTGAGCTCTAACAATCTCAACACTCATAATTAATACCTGGTTTGAAACAAACCAAATGCTGAAAAGCAGCCCTCAACCCTGACAGAGCTTCTTCAGTATTTTATTTAACGTTCCAAACTGTAACATGTAAAACATGTGACGTTAGCTTTTTCATCTTCACTCCAGTCCTTATTTAACTTTTTAAACATTCTACTTTGCTCTAAACCCTCTGACCTGGGTCTCCTATGTCATGAGGGACCACGTCTTTGGTCTTCACATAAGAATGGCGGCCACTCATCAGATGAAGCCTTACAAAAAAAAACAAAAAAAA